TTGACGCCAAGGAATACTTGAATTTCTTCCACAGACAGTAAACTGTCACTGGTTTGATAATTGTTATTTATGAATTATGTGATCAAAAAACAAACGAATTAGTTCGTCATATTTCTTTTGGTAAAACGATCTTTTAATAGATTCCTGATATCCGCGCTCTGTTGTACTTGGAATAAAAAGGTATTACTTTGTTTTGATTGTTTTTATTGTGTAATATTGAATCATTTTATATTAAATTTTTCTGCATTCTCGTTCTTACGGCTACACCCTAAAATATTTATCAATAATTGATTATCAATTCAAGATCAAACCGAAAATGTATACCGAGAATATTTCAAACTATTAATAAATAATACAATATATTAGCAAGATTAGATGAACTGTTTAACATTTAGAATCTTAGATATTTTAATAATGAATACATCACACACACATTCATCAGCATGATGCATAGCTGATCGATAGCTTCGTCTGAGTTGAGTCATTTTGTGTAACACTATATAACACTTAATTCTCACAATGTGCCGGCCATGTAATGTTGGCTGTTTCTCTTTACATCTCATGAGCAAATCAAATTGTGGACAAGATACCTCTTGTCAGATTCACGGTTACGATTGCAGACAGGCTTTGGTTGGTCAAATATGTTGAATAAACACTAGATTGCTAGCTGTTGCGATACTTATCGTGCATGGAAGGCGAGCTTTTTGTTAAGTTTTTAGCCAGATGTAGACGTAATGTTTAGTCACTGTTAATTTAGACGCTGTGAAGTTCACATAAGAAAGCTTATTTTGAAATGTAATTATGTTAAACCCACTGAAACATGGTTTCAGATGTAGGATTGTGAACAGCGTTGTTTTAGTTTTACTCGGGAAGACATTCTATCGCACTATATAAGCAATGTCTGATAGTGATACAGATCAAGACATGCAGGCTTGAAGTCGAAGGCAAAAGCCAAAGGCAAAGCGGAAATTTCATATTCTAGAAATACTATGGCAGTATTTCATCGAAGATGGGAGACTTATGTTTTGGTCTGTATAGTTTCTCGATTACATAATGCAAAGAGCCATTCAAGAAGTGAAGACGCATTTTGTTAGTAATTAACCATGATCCGCTATTTTGGTTTCACTCATTAATGAGGGAAAGTGAGTGGGAAAGTGAGAGAGCTAGCGTTCCAGTCTTAATTGAGTTAACTGGCCCTCGCAAGGCGGCTCAGCTAAGTGAGCGATTGGCGGATGAATGCTAAATTTAAAGATGTGCTCTACCAACAAAGATGTTCCCGCTGTCTGTGGGAAAAAATTGCGGATGCTTGGGGATACAATGTGATAAATATAATAATTACATTATGTTTATTTTTATTAAGTCAGCGACTTTTTATTAATTGTTTTTGATCGTTTTAATATTTTCAACCCAATTATCTACTGACATAATTATTGTTGTAGAATTTTCTTGCTATTACGTACTTATAATCATACATTCTACATTACTTTCCTAAAAAGCTACAACATAAAAAATGAAAAATGTCGTGTATTTCAGGTTAAACCATAAACATGTATAATACGTTTAATGTAGTTTATATGTTAAGATTCTTTATAAGGATTTTGAAAAGCAACAACACAATGAGACATTTTTGTGCCATATAAATTAGGCAGGAAGCGCTCGAAAAAAGGTCTAGAGGCTCTAATTAACCTAAGTTTTTCCTAGAGGAACACGAGGACCTCTAATTCGCAGAGGGTGTGAGCCAGCTCTGTGCATGTTGTTCAGTGAGTTGAGACCTGATGATCTAGGGACAACCATTAGTTATACTGAGAAACCCGACAGAGCATGCAAAAACTATCGGTTTTTCTAGAGGAACAGGTGAACCTCTAGATAACAGGGGAACAGGCGGACCCCTGTCCAGGTCAGTCACCTCGCGACCCAAATATTGTCTGACTGACCCATCGAGTCTCTAGGTCAGGTCATCAGTTCGCGTTTTCGACCAGAATAACCTGTACAAATGCACTTCACGTGGTGAGGTGTTGTCCAGAAGGACAGCACTTCCTGCCATTAATGGCGGTCTTCACAAAGTGCAGAATGCCATTTCCGCCACGGGAAGTAGGCCGAATTATAGTCCTGTCTTTCGACAGCGGAGAGGGTCCACCCGAAAATGTCTTTAAGACACAATCTTGCAAGGTGGCCAGCAATTGTGTGTATGTGCGTCCTTGAACAAACAGATTGAAGATATTCGTGCAGTTGCCGTGGTTGCATGACAGAACAAACATACGACAGGCTGAGTTTGCAGGAAGGATCTACATACACACAAATAGGAGACTGGTATTATACAGACTATACAGCAAGGAAGCATAATGTTTGAGTTTTAAAGGTAGATATTAAACAAAATTTTCAATGTTTGGTACTTGAAGTTAATAGTTTTTATGGAACGGAAGCTAAGACGTCCTTTGGAGTTCTAATGTATCTCTTGTAACAGTCTGAAGACCAACGTCCTAGCGTTTTGATGAGCCAAGAGGTTAGGCCGCGGCTGAGCCCGCAGCTGTAGCAGCTCCGATCCTGAAACTATGAGAGGCGTAGAGTTTTTCGGCTAGTCCTTGCCCTTGAAGTAGATGACGTAGATGCGATGTTAGGGTTACACGTGTAAGTGGGACAGCTGATGTAAATTGGAACAGTGGACGAGTTGTTTGGCCAGACGATGACTGGAGTAGATATGTTTTCAAGCTCGAACCGGGCAGAGTCATTGGAAGCGGTACCCCCAATCACTGGATGCTTTCTACGCCCCTGGGTTTGTTGCCGTTTAGTGATCATCACATATCATTACTGTTAGTTTTTAGCTTGATTCACGACAAAATCATTTTCATTGAAAACGCACGCGCTGGGTGGTTCAATTAAATGACGTAAAATTCATTCAATTGTTGTCAATTAAATGATCGTTTCTTGCGGATAGGTTTGCAAAAATTTTGCGCGCGAAATATTATTTCACAGAGCGATAAAAAGCGGTTAATTGAAAATCATGTTTTCCCTTTCCTCATTATCCAAACCCTTCGATGATTTGACATTACGATGAGCCAATTGTTAAACGACATCCACGACGAAAAGGGTCGGTTTTGGAACGCTTGATCAAGACATCATAATATTCCGCGTGGAGGATATTTGGGTGCATGGAAAATTATGTCATTGCGGGATGATAGGTGGCACTCGGGATCAAATGGAGAATTACACGTGAATTCACTACAGCGCAAGAAACCAAAAAAGGCCAGAGTGAAGGCGGCCCAAAGCATCACATTGTCTAAACAGTTTGTAAACTGAGGATGTAGGGCAGAATGAAGGGACTAGAGCTCGGTCACAGTGATAGGCCGTCGATCCCGCAATTTTTCACCCTTGAGGCGCTTCAGACCTTTCAGACTTTTCTCTAATAATTGCATGCTCCCCATGTCGAATGGGATTTGAAAAATTACGTGGAGGTAAGACACGCTAGCTAAGTATGTTTTAACAGTTGAATATGAAACAGATTTCGATGGATGGCCGACAAAGTAGAGCAGGGTAAGTTCAGTCGCAGGCAGTAAAGGTGAACAGGGTGTCACGATACCTTTTGCAAGGCAGAATGAAATGAATTGTTTTACGCCGGCGGCGTATGTTTGTTTGGTTGACGGTGCCCATGAATGCTGAATAAGTTCATAAACACGGTCTTTTAAGTTTGGATCATGGATACTGGGATGACACAGGGCAGAGGAGACGCCAGTGGCGCTAATTGTTTGAAGCGGTCCATCTGAAAACGAGAGAGCGAGTCAGCAATGCCATTGTCAAATCCGCGTACACGCCTGGCCGTAAATGTAAAGTTGTGTTTTAAAATACAAAGAACAATCGGTCGGAGTAAATCCATTATCTTCGGACATTTTGACGTCTTCTGGTTGAGAACTTGGACAACGGACTCGTCACAGAAAAACACAATGCGTTTTGTTGCCCAAAAATAAATAAATAATATAAATGTAAATACACTGAATTACAAAAAATTAAAATGGTTAGTCGATCATTATCGCCTTGACCTCTATACGAACTTGCAGCTCTAATCGATAAGCGAAACCTTCCTCGCTAAATAAATCAAGCTTAGACTACGTGTAGTTGAGAAACACGCGCTGGTAATCCTCAACCTCTGAGGCAACAAATACCTGTAATTTAAACTACGGTTTGATTTTCATCTGCAGGGAATTAGTTGCTTCCTGAATATTTCACCCAACAACTTTGCATCAAATGTGGTTCATAATCACAACTACGTAAAATAGGCAATAAATACTTCCTGGCATCACTGCTACTTTCCTGGTCAAAACGTTGAGAAGCTCTATAACTTTGATAAAATTGTTGTCTTTGCTTTCATGGTATTTAGATTTGAAACATGAAAAGCAATTCTTGAAATTATTGGTTTGCTTGGCGGCTCTACTCAGTTTGTGATTTAATGCGCAGGAGAAAAAAATGTTGTTTGTATATCATATTTAAGTTGAACAAATATTTCCGGGACAATCAGCAATACTTAGCAATTATTGAATGAGGTTGAACATGATATGAAGAATTATCAAGCCGAAGTTTGTCATTATCAACCGAAGCCGAAGGCTGAGGTTGATAATGACAAACTGAGACTTGATAATTCTTCATATCATGTGAAAACCGAATTCAATAAATGTTTTATTATTTATTTAAAAGAACGAACATGTATTCCTCAAAGTTGCCGAACCTTTCACTTGAGGAAGCCATTGTGTTGATGTCTTCGCCATTCGTGTGACGTCAAACATGGGATACGACTATTTATCACACTAAAAAAAGTCGTATCACACGTTATGACGTCACACGTTGGATATGACGATTTCACACATGGCTATTAGCCAATCACAGACTGTGAATTCTTTTAAATAAATAATAATAACAATTAACAAAGGTAATCTTAATACTAAGACTAATTAATCCTTAAACACTGAACACTAACTCACCCCCCGTAAGGTTGAAATGTCAGGAAAACTGAGGAATTTCCTATGCACGCCAAGGAATACTTGAATTGTTTCACAGACAGTCACGTGATTTTTGTGGTGAAAAATCAAAACTCGCTCATCCAAACACTGGAATATCTTTGTGATAAAAATACCAAATAAATCCTGATATTTCTTCTGGTAAAATCATCGTTTAATGGATTTCTGATATCAGATATGTCGTACTTGGAATAAAAAGGTATTACTTTGTTTTGATTGTTTTTATAGTGTATATTTATTTGTGCAATTTGGTATTAAATTTTGCAATATTCCCCCACAGACTTGGTAGTTGGTACTGTAATATATACTGGTAACTACAACATTAAATATTTATCAATAAGTCATTATCAATTCATAATAAATATTTCAAACTTTTAATAGAAAAAACAATATATTAGCAACACTTGATGAACTGTTTAATGTTTATCATCTTGTGATCACCCACACATGAAGCATAGTTATGACTCAGTCATTTTGTGTAACTGTGTGTCATGTAATGTTTGTTTTTTCTTCATACATGAGGAAATTGAAATAAAGACAATGGTCTTCTTGTCAAATTCAAAGTTATATTGTTATGATTACAGACCTGTGGACTTTGGTTGGTCAAATAATACATAAGAAAGCACCAAATTGCTGCCCCCAAACCTTCACATGTTTTTGCACAAAATGTTCCAAAAAGACACATCATTCATATTGTGTTTCATGTAAGAGCAATGTAATATTAAGTAATGATTTAGTTTATGCCCAATATGTCTGCTTTTCTGTTGGGTAGACATAGGAAAACAAGTTTCGACACTGGAGTGTAAATGCTGCTCATAACCGCAGAGTCTCAGGTGTGCCAGAGAGAATGTAAGAGGGGTGACGTTTTCTATAAAGTTTAATAATATTTATCCAAATTGGACAGAGATATAATAAGCATGTAAAAAGTTGCCTGATCACTATGTTCAAATTGTGATGTAGATTTAAACAGTTTAAACTCTGCCATTGATGGATTACACAGTTTTAATCTACAGTATTTCCCCAGAGTTAGGAATGTGTGAATATCTGTTCTAGGGAAAGGGAGTTTAACTAATAAATATAAAAAATACAAATATGAGAGCAATCATGAGAGGAATTAATTGTGCAATTGTGAATTGATGCATTCATAATTAGTGTATGTATTTATATTCAGACATGTACAGTAACTATATAGCCTGCAGTATTAGGTTGTTAAATAAATTAAAAAGGAATTAGTTCTGCTTGTTTGCTAGATTATTGCATCAGTTTTGAAAATATTTACATTTTGCACAGCAACAACACACTTCTGTCTTGATCAAATCAAAATTTCATGATCATTATTAATTTTAATACCATTCTAACTTTAGTAATATCCAAATGAGAAACTCAGCTATGTTATTACAAATTAATGACATGGTTTTTCAGATGTTTCACTCAGCTTCACCCTTAGTAATTTCACTAGTTAGTTTCACTAATATTAGCTATGTACTTATATTTACAAGTTTTCTGTCCAGTATTCAAGATGTTTGAGAAGTCAAAATATCAAGTTTTATAGCAACATTTATTTACTTCTGAGAATGTCATGGGAAAATGTTGTCATACTGAGGAATATAGATTTTCTTGATATATTAATTATAAATAATAATATATATTGGTAGTAGCTATTATTACTACATTTTCATTTGAGTCATCATGTTGAAAATTGAAGGGTCCTGGAGAGTCCAATTAAAACTAAGCACTTATTTGAATTTACATCAAGGCCACTTATTTGAACATGAATTTGATTTACAAGCTAGTACTTTTGTAGAATTCATAACCAATCATTTATCAATTCAGCTGTCTGGGTTGGAACAGTTCATTCACTGGCAAAACTGAAAAGTATTTTAAAACTACTTGTATGTTTGAATATTCAAATCCATTGAAAAGTCTCATTTCTAAACATTTAGTCGAGTGTTTGGTTGAATAACCTTTTTGACAACCTCAGTGTAAATGATAGTGAACAGGGACTCCTGACACACCGTCATCTTCTTGAAACTTCATATAGAATACAGAAAGCCTGACTGGAAGCTTCGAAAGAACTTGCGGTCTTTTCATAGTATTAATATTATGTCCTGTGTCTCTGTATAAAACATAATGAGAGCAAGCTTGTAAATATTCACAATGGTTTCAGAATGACTTTGAAATAGATTAGAAATATCACTGCAAATTGTCTTCTATTAAAATATCTTGAATTTACATTACAAGTTTTGTTTTTTAGAGCATGTTTCTTCCAAAACCATTTAAGGCCTGGGTTATATGTCGCGTCTAATGCAATTCAACCAATAGATGAGATGATTAACGTCATTAAGCTTCATTATCATCTCATTTTTTATTGTTCGAATTGCATTTGTTCAAATTGCATTCGATGCGACCAAAATACGACATAATTATAACCTAGGCCTAAACTAGCCAAGGCCATACCTACAATCCTGGCCAAAACCATTGACTGCACCGATTTGTAGTTTTTTATGCAAAACATCAACATTTCTGTCTCGACTTCCCCCCTCGCCCCCCTAATCAATGTTGAGCCCATGCTGAATACTTGAATGAGTTCTGACACATCACCCAACATTGATTTGTGGGGGAAAGGGGGAGAATTTTGAAATATATTCCGTGACTACCGACTGTAGTGGCAATTGACACTGAGTGTCGTCAATGTTTTGACCAGGATTGTAGATCGCTTAATTAGTGGTGGATTCATTTTTCTCAATCCTGGTTGCACTCTAGTACATAGAAATGATATAATCTGCTGTAGAGCATATGAAATAATACAGTGGTGAGAGGCTCTATCTATATTATCTATAATACTGGTTTCCTCACACTAGTAGCAATTTTCATGCCACGTCCGCGTCGTAGATTTGGTGCATCTTAAACTCGCTTTTTATTAAGTGGGGCTCACCAACTGCCTAATATTTTGCACAAAAAATATTAACGACTGTTGCCGAATTTAGGTTAACGCATGGTTGAGTATACCAACCATATAAGTAAACAGTCATTTATACAGTATGCACAAATATATAGTGTTATGATCGTAATTTGTTATATGTATTGTTAATAAAGGAATGGTTATGTAAATGTTAATAGTGTAGTATCATATAGCATAGGATATATCTATAGTAAAAGTTACGTTTAATGTAGCTCCCTACAGCTAGTACAGTTTTACGTGATCTATAGTAAAAGATCCGTTTAATGTAGCTCCCTACAGCTAGTACAGTTTTACGTGATCTGTAGTAAAAGATCAGTTTAATGTCGCTCCCTACAGCTAGTACAGTTTTACGTGATGTATAGTAAAAGTTACGTTTAATGTAGCTCCCTACAGCTAGTACAGTTTTACGTGATCTATAGTAAAAGATCAGTTTAATGTAGCTCCTTACAGCTAGTACAGTTTTACGTGATCTATAGTAAAAGATCAGTTTAATGTCGCTCCCTACAGCTAGTACAGTTTTACGTGATCTATAGTAAAAGATCAGTTTAATGTAGTTCCCTACAGCTAGTACAGTTTTACGTGATCTATAGTAAAAGTTACGTTTAATGTAGTTCCCTACAGCTAGTACAGTTTTACGTGATCTATAGTAAAAGTTACGTTTAATGTAGCTGCCTACAGCTAGTACAGTTTTACGTGATCTATAGTAAAAGATCAGTTTAATGTCGCTCCTTACAGCTAGTACAGTTTTACGTGATCTATAGTAAAAGTTACGTTTAATGTAGCTCCCTACAGCTAGTACAGTTTTACGTGATCTATAGTAAAAGATCAGTTTAATGTAGCTCCTTACAGCTAGTACAGTTTTACGTGATCTATAGTAAAAGATCAGTTTAATGTCGCTCCCTACAGCTAGTACAGTTTTACGTGATCTATAGTAAAAGATCAGTTTAATGTAGTTCCCTACAGCTAGTACAGTTTTACGTGATCTATAGTAAAAGTTACGTTTAATGTAGCTCCCTACAGCTAGTACAGTTTTACGTGATCTATAGTAAAAGATCAGTTTAATGTCGCTCCTACAGCTAGTACAGTTTTACGTGATCTATAGTAAAAGATCAGTTTAATGTAGCTCCCTACAGCTAGTACAGTTTTACGTGATCTATAGTAAAAGTTACGTTTAATGTAGCTCCCTACAGCTAGTACAGTTTTACGTGATCTATAGTAAAAGATCAGTTTAATGTCGCTCCCTACAGCTGGTACAGTTTTACGTGATCTATAGTAAAAGATCAGTTTAATGAAGCTCCCTACAGCTAGTACAGTTTTACGTGATCTATAGTAAAAGTTACGTTTAATGTAGCTGCCTACAGCTAGTACAGTTTTACGTGATCTATAGTAAAAGATCAGTTTAATGTCGCTCCCTACAGCTAGTACAGTTTTACGTGATCTATAGTAAAAGTTACGTTTAATGTAGCTGCCTACAGCTAGTACAGTTTTACGTGATCTATAGTAAAAGATCAGTTTAATGTCGCTCCCTACAGCTAGTACAGTTTTACGTGATCTATGTGGATCAGCTAGACGTGCCTTGTCCATCTCTTTTGTTAAATATCGGCGAAAAACGTTCGTTTATTTAATACAATGGCCTCTATTAATCAACTCCCTACACCAATGTCATCTAGACAACAGAGTGTTACTAGAGCATAGGTATTGAAATTGATCAGTGTATGCATGTCTCGAGTAAAATTAGACTTCGCATTGGCACATTCTGTGTGTTATTTAGGCAAAAAAAACTAGGAATTCCATCCCAGTTCATCATCCATGGAGAACCTGCATCCTCATCACGCACAATCGCTGATCGATAAGCCCTTTGCAATTGTTCGAATGCCGTGTGTCTTCTCCAGAATACGTTTCGAATTACACTTTGACCCGCTTATGTTTAAACGTTTTGGTTGATTGTAATTCCAAGGTATTTAAATGTAGTATCTACCCGATCAACATTGTCCCATTGATACCGATGGAAACACCAAAACAAGATTTAAGTGGCCACAAATTAGCATGAATTTAGATTTCTTCTTATTCAAGGTTAGGAGATGGTCTGTGAACTACTTCTGAACATTTGCCAGATCCTCGTTTAATATTTCACTATATTTCATTTTTCCTATTCACTACCAAATCTCCAGTAGATTAGTAGCCTGTGCACTGACGTAATTTATGAGGGAGCGTTGCGTCTGTGCCCAGGCTAGTTGATTAGTGAAAATGAGTTAGATCTCCATATTTTCACGAGACGCAAATCCAAGTGAAAATGCTTTTTACTTGTTTATATCACTTTAAAAAGCTTATAATTGATAAACCATGTACAACCTTTGTATAACAACAATATTATAAGAATCATTACCCTGACAGGTTGTTTTTCTGGTTTAGAGGATTGTGAAGTTAATATTTAAAGACAACAATGGATCCATTGAAAGACAAAGCTAATTATTCCAGAGTATGTCATTTGTTGGTAGATAAAGGTGGAGATGTTTTGAGAAATGCTTTGCATGCGGTGCATCCACCTTCCACCTTAGCTTCCGTATTGAATGCAAACAAGAAGACCTTACAGAGAATACGATACAGTGTAATTAAAGCCTCGCAATGGGAGCTACTCTTTCCAAGATCTGGTTCACCAGATTCAAAGAACTTTGATATTACCCTATTGACTGTCCTGCTCCGAAATATTTGTGGATTGTCCGCACCAGCCACCGGATGGAATGTGATGCCTCCAGTCAGCGATACTTCTATATCTGCAAATATTTTAAGAGTCAAAATGTTTAGAAATGAAGTCTATGGTCATATTCCGACTGCTGGTTTGGACGACGTAACGTTTGAAACATTGTGGCAAGAAATTTCTGTTCCGTTAGTCAACTTGGGAATTCCTCAATATGCTATTGATGAATTAAAGGTGGCTCCTCTTAGTCCTGAAGAAGAAAGTTATATTGAAAGATTAAAAGAGTGGAAACAACAAGAGGATGATTTTATGTCAAAATTAAACGATGTTGAAAGTGAAGTAGTCAAACTTAGAAAGACAGTTGAAAATGTTCATCCCTCGCGTGTCGAGCAACTGGCTAAATTTAACTTTGCTGGAAAGATTCGTGACCTCTGTACAAAATTTCAAGATGACACTAGAAAGTGGTTGTTTGATAAACTTTCAAATTGGTTTGGGAGTGAAGAATCAAGGGTCTTGATCTTAACTGCCGGTCCAGGTGTTGGAAAAAGTGTTTTGTCTGGAAAGCTTTCCGAGCTTTTTAGAGAACGTGGTCAACTCGCAGCTCACCATTTCTGTGACTTTCGAAATTCTGATTCCAGCAATCCTCAGAGAATCCTCCAGTCCCTTGCCAGTCAAATGTGTGATACTGTTGAAGGATTTCGTGATAAACTATCAGAGATTCTTCGTCGTGAACATTCTCGTGACTCGCTGTCAGACGCATTTCGTGTTCTTTTGAACGACCCGCTCCATGCCCTTGACAGACACGATCCAATGTTGATCATCGTTGATGCTTTGGACGAGAGCAAAAGTGACAAGAAAAGCGAATTTTTGGAGTTGATATCTGAGAGATTTTGTGAACTGCCAGATTGGATTAAGATATTCATTTCCAGTCGACCAGAGCTACAAGTACGAAAGATTCTTGAACATCTTCACCCGTGGGAAATCCTTCCTGATGACAAAGATCACGACCACGACATGGAGCTTTTCGTTCGTCATAGTTTACCTAATCGTGATGATTATAGTATAAGGTCAGTTATGTCAAAGTGCGAGGGATCGTTTTTGTACGCTTATTACTTGGTCAGTGAATTGAAAGAAAAGGGCGTGGGAATTGAACCCGACCTAAGTGATTACATCTCCAACGGTATTTCGGGATATTACGAAAAGCAGTTCAAACGTTTAGACATAGGCCTCCAACATTTCAAGCAAGATACCTCATGTCTCTTAAACAGTTTCATCAATGTCGTTGCCGTTTCTAAGGAACCCCTCCCAATAAAAGTTCTTTTCACATGCATCGGTCTCTCTGAAGACGAATTTAAAATACGTAAAGCGGTTTTTGACATAATGTCAGAGATTCTTCCAGTTTACGATGGGTGTCTGACTGTTTATCATAAGTCATTATTGGATTGGCTGACATTGAACGGTTATGAAGAACATGCATTCGTTGCAGATGTTGATGACGGGAATAGACGTCTCTGGGGTGCTTGTAAGAAACACTTCTGCGAAATTGATGCTTTGAAGTCTGTTTTAGAATTTCAAATTTCACCCGAGAGTAAGTATGCTTTAGAAAATGGTTTTAAATATTTGGTCGATACAGGCGAGGTAGAGGAATTTCATTGGTTGGTGCATGTTGGTATAAACTTCTTGAAACTAAAATTTTTTATCACCTAAACAGTTATTTTTTCAGGCGAATTCTTTGTTCGTACCGTTCTAAACTTTCCAAAGATATTTATTGGGGCCTCATTCAACACGTTTGTTTATCCGAAATGGTACAAGTTAGCTCTGGGACTTATGAAAAAGATCGTTGTTACGCATATTTGCAAGCACTCGCTAATGGATACTTTGATTTTTCACAAGATGCCTTCAATTCCAAAAGTGCAGCTAGGAATATCTTGGCTGCGACAAATGAGATTTGGATAGAATATGTGAAAACTGAAAGCAATTCTAATATAAGCATTGTCACCGAAGCTGTGGTTCCAGACAGTTCACTTCTTTTTGATTTTATTGTGTCACCGGACAATACGATGTTTGCTTGCGTACATGTGCTTCAGGGAAAAGTTCAAATGCTTAAAATACCAGATCTTACAACTATCTTTGAGGCACAATTTACTGTTAAAAGACCTTTTTGCCAATTCTCTGCTTTTTCTCCAGACTCTTCGTATTTTTTATACGATTCAATCCGGTTCTGCATCAATATTAAAGAAAAGAAAGAGGTCCCCTTCATTACGCACGCCCCCGATGACATCAATCACTGTTCATTTTCTTCATGTGGAATGAAACTTGTCACATTAGAGGAAACGTCAATCAAAGTGTGGGATGTAAAAAGCAAGAATATATTGGTTGAAGTTGAGAATGGGTATGATGAGCATTCTTATTGTTTGTTTAGTAATTGTAACTCGTACATTCTACTTTGGCCTAAGGATGAGAGACGATGTGGTTCCCCATTATCAGATAACACTCTTCTTTGGCCAGGGTATGGTTTCAGGACTGTTTCCCCAGTCTTAGATTACATGAACTTCTTGAATTCTGAAACTTTGGAAAAGACTGATAACAAGAATATTCGTGTTGACCAGAATTTGTGTAGTAATGATTCCTTTCAGATGTTTTCCGCGCCTCATTTGTTTTCCGACTCGAGTGTTAAAATGAAAATGAATTACATCTGTTTGCCATCTGGTGAGAAAGTTATAATTTCCAATAAATATTGTTCAAAAGTTTTTGTGTGGAAAAACAGAAAGTGTGTAGCATTTACAAATGATTTCAAAAATGATTTAGCTTTGGTAGTGTACGATTTCATAAATCAAAAGATCGTTGACGTGTTTGAGATTGGATTTTTGCCTTGTGATACTCGTGTCAATTACATTTCGAAATTAGATGGGACGAGTTTCCTTTTATCTTTAGGATTTCCCAAAATACTCAGTGTTTTATCCTTCCAATCTCTTCTCGAATGGACTGATGCTACTTTTGTTTACAATGCCGAAATAGATTGTCGTGCACTATCTCCAGACACTTTGTATGTCGCGTGTTGTTTTAATAATTGCCTTCTTTCAATAAGAAGTGTCGATAGTGGGGAAACATTGCAAACTGTTGCACTGGAACAACGAGCATTAGCATGTTGGTGGTCAGAGTCGTATCTTTGGTTGGTCTGTGAACGTCTGGTTGTTAAATATCGTTCTGAACCTAGGAGTGAAAATATCTTAGGAAGTCAACATGAAGACTCTATTGTAAATTTTGAACGTGTCCTTGCGTTTAAAAATGGAGTTCTTTTGATCTATACGGCGATCGGAAACTTTCTATTTTAAGAATTTGTAACGAAAAACTGTGTTATCAAGAAACGCCGTTATGTAAGTTTTCTGACCCTTCTGTTGCAATAAGTTCTGATGGTTGTGCTGTTATGTTATTATTGTCTGATTTCATTTCGGGTTATGAATTGTGGGAAATAAAATGTGGCAACACGTGGATAGTACGTTCAACCGGAGAGTTGAATCTACCGGATATTCGTTGGTGGTCTTTATTTGGTACAAAAACGACTCGCAATGCAGTGTTCTTTGGAAGCGGTAGATCGTCTAATATTTGTTTACTTTCTATTACTTTCCCAAATGATGTGCAAAATTTGCATGAACTTACTATTGGACTCTTTTACGGGGCTGTTTATATCGATTCTGATTTGATCGCTATTTTCGTTGGTGAATGGATATATTTTGTTAAAGTCTCGGAAGGCAGAATCATAGCTTCCAGATACCTTGGTGATATTTTAAGCAGGGTATTTCCGTCTTATCCACCTCCTTTCTTTCTTCCATCAACGCGTTCTCTTTTGTTCGTTGACAGAAATGGGAACAAATATTTAAAAATTCATAACATTGAAAAGTATTTCTAAGATTTCCTTTCTTGATGTAAGTAGTTTAGAATCCGATTTCTTGTTTGAATGCGAAAACCACGCGTAAATCAAAACGTTCAGCTATGGAACGTCCTGAAATGCGAAAACCACGGAAATCGTTGAAACGTTTTTTAGTTTTTCCTTTCGTGATGTAAATTGTTGAGCATGGAATTTCTTGTTTTAACGGCGAAACGCACGGAAATTGTCTGATATATATATTTTTCTAAAAAAAAGCCAATTAACTTTAACATAGTCAACGGATTTAACACGGAATACGTCTTTGAAAACGTTTGAACTGTGTAATATTAGTACAAAAATATTTTTTAAATATATTTTGTATCCAAGAGATTTTCCTGCTGTGTGTTTTTATAACCTGTGTGTGAGATCGATTAATTCACATACTTCCTTTGTGTACTTGTGATAAGCGTACATAAATATCCAGCCTCTTACTTGTTAAGGGTTCAGTTTATTCTACACACAGGAATTCAGTATAATAGCCCTCTTTATTTGCTTTACTGTTCCTAACGGAAGACGATGAACGAAAAATCCTTCTATAATTAACCTGGATCATTATTACATATTTTTCCGCTTTGAGTAAAAAAAGTCACTGAAACAGACGAAAAAAATTACGCTGTGTCTGAAGGAATATATTTTCAATTGTTTATGTTATTTTCCTGAAAGTTAAAGGTGTTTATGTCCTTATATAAGAAAATATGATTTCTTTCATTAGAAATTAAAATCTAAAGGAAAATATTTTCGTAGCCAGGCAAACGAAGCTATAAAATGAGAAGGATATTTTTGTTCATCTTTCTTCATTTAGTCAGAGACTTGAGTGAAGTGAATAACAAGGAAGGTTTAGGTCAATGATTTACCTGATCTAAACTAGCTGGAATGAGTAATGAATCATGGATATCTTTACTTTTAAAATTAGTTTCCTGTTTTGTCAAGCACACTTTTATCAGAAGTTTTTAGCATTCTATTTTTATATTCTAAAGCAATTTTTTAAAGCTCCTCTGGCAGATAAAGTACATAAACCTTTTGAAAAAGGAGAAAGAAGCTTGTGGCGAAGTACAATTTCTTGGTGTAGTCAGGCTATAATCAGATTTTTTTTCGAATATCAAAATCATTTATTTTATGTCACAAGATACAAAAGACGAAGTTCCTTCAATCAAAATTTAGAAGTAAACAAATTATTCTGGAATTTTTGCAGTCGAAAACCTGACTAGCCTCGTTTTTGTGTATCTCGCAATAGGCCTCTTGCTCTACTTCGAATAGGTCCATGCATAGTGATGTGAACCCGCGTCATGATGTAAAGGGCTGATTGCATGGGCGAGGCTGGCACGTTCCCTATAGTTTATTATAGTCAATTCAAACGTTTCGGTTACATGCAGCCGGGTCAGCTCGAGCTGAGGTTGTGTCAAGCGGGTTAGCTCGGCTTGCCGATATGGGCGTGGCGATTGGGGAGGGAGGTCAGTGTGAGGGGTGTGGCACCCCCTGATAATTCAACATGATAAAAAAAAAGTTGGTCAAATTGCTTTTTTATTTGTAAGCAAATTGATCAAATATACAACAACATTTGTTTCAGTATTTATGAATATTTAAGGCTCGTGATACTCATAGAAAAGTTGACCAATCTCCTACACCCATGTCATAAACCAAATTTTCATTTTCCATTACCAAAAGTGGGTCAATATTACGTGACACCCTCTGCAATCCTAGCTCGTTTGCCACGCCCCTGCTAACTTGCCGGGGTAGAGGTTTGCATGTAGTCGTTTCAGGCCCGCAAATTAAACTGGCCTAAAAGCACAAGAATGAATATAATATTATAAAACCCAGGAAGGATTGAAATTATTAAGACATTTACGCAATTGATTTCAAAAAATGTTCGCCAAAATATCATACTGAAATCACTCATGTAATCGTTTGTTCGGCAAACATGCTATCCCGCTCCATGTAATCCACCCCTAAATGGTATGATTAAGTGTTGATTCTTGAATATCAGCGACAGCGATTAGTCATGGATGCAGTGATTTCGCAGTGGTAGTTTCAAGATGGCTGAAGACGGTTTTAGCTAAACTATATAATGGAATATTTTGGTACTTTTTAATCAAATGCGTACCAGGCAGTGGTACCGTACCAGGCAGTTTTCCGTACGTGTACGTGCGTATAAAAAACGCGTAAGTTGAAAGGTGGAAACCAGCCTTAACTCACCCCATGCAGTGAAAGTTAAAAATTTATGTCAGGAAAACTGTGGAAGTTCAACTGCACGCCAAGGAATATTTGAATTTATCAAACAGACAGTAAACTAACTGATTTGATAATTGTTATTTATGAATGATGCGGTCAAAAAACAAACGAATTAGTTCGTCATATTTCTTCTGGTAAAATGATATCTTAATAGATTTCTGATATCAGATCTGTTGTACTTGGAGTAAAAAGGTATATTATTTTAATTTGATTGTTTTTATAGTCTGTATTAAATCATTTATTTATAATAAATTTTACAACATTCTCGTACCAACACCCTTTAAATATTTATCAATAATTGATTATCAATTCAAGATAATACCGAAAATATATACCGAGACTGAATATTTCAAACTATTAATAGGAAACACAATTTACTAGCTTACCCATGGGTATAAATGCTGCCTGAAAGCATGATGTCAGTGTTCAGGTAAAACACACACATCAACAAGATGCACAGTTATGTCTGAGTCATTTTGTGCAACATTAACAGTCTTTCATGTAATGTTGGCTGTTTCTCCATACACGAGCAAATCAAATTCCAGACAAGATTCTTCTTGTCAGATTCAGGGTTACGATTACAGACAGGCTTTGGTTGGTCAAATAATTATATTGAATAAACACTATATTGCTAGCTGTTGCGATACTTATCATGCATGGAAGGCGAGCTCTGTGTTAAGCTTTTAGCCAGATTCAGACGTAATGTTTAATCACTGTTAATTTAGACGCTGTGAAGTTCACATAAGAAAGCTTATATTTTGAAATGTAATTTGTTAAACAACCGAATGGATTTCCGATGTAGGATTGTGAACAGCGTTGTTT